GGCGGACACAACATCTTTGTATGTGGTGCTGAGGATCGAACCCAGGCCTCACGCATGCCAGAGGATCGCGCTACCCGCTTAAGCCACATCCCCAGCCCCATAGAAAGGTTTTTAATAGAATATTTGTTAGCCAGGTGTGGTGGTACTATGTCTATAATCCCAGTAACTAAGTATTTTTCAGGTATCTCAAAGTATTGAAATTATAGTCGTGCGCCACTGTTGCCAACTTAAGTAAGCTAAGTACTTATCAAGGAATATGGCATTTTGGAATATGACTGCCAATACTTCTAAATAGTACTACTAAAAATTATTTCTAGAAAAATAATATGTAAAATGATGTCAAAATTTTTTAAAATGACAGCTGTGTACATATTGGAAGAACAAAATAAGAAGGGCTTTCTTTGACTTCTTCTTTTTATTATTTTATTTCCAGAAGTATTCACTATGGACCCTTTTTGATGTGTCTGATCTCAAAATATTAGTTCTCAACTTATGTCTTGGTATAGTAACTTACCCAGCAAAACCTGGTTTAAAAAAGTATTTCTGCCAGGCACAGTGGCACATGCTTGTGATCCCAGTGGCTTGGGAGGCTGAGGCAGGAGGATTGAGAGTTCAAAACCAGCCTTAGCAACTCAGCAAGATCCTGTCTCTAATAAAATATTAAAAAGAGCTGGGGATGTGGCTTCTAGTTAAGTGTCCATGAATTGAATCTCCAGTAACCCCCCCTACCCAAAAAGTGTTTCCAAGGGCTCCTGTTATAGCTCATCTCAGTGGTAGAGTCCTTGCCTAGCATGTGTGAGGCACTGGGTTTGATCCTCAGCACACATAAAAATAAATAAATAAAAGTATTGTGTTCACCTATAACATACATATATCATGTATATATATATATTTTTTGTTTGTTTGTTTGTTTCCAAAATTTTGGGAAACCATTGTCTTAGATAATGATTTTGTTGGTGGCAGTACAAGTTACCAAAATAAATATGTTGGATTTATGGAAGTAGAAGGTACATATTGAGGATAAATTAACCGAATCCTTTATTTCCTTTAGGCTGATAGCCCTGAAGAGATGCACAGTTGGATTAAAGCAGTCTCTGGCGCCATTGTAGCACAGCGGGGACCTGGCAGATCAGCATCTTCTGTAGGTTTCCTGCTCTCTGGGGTGACAGTCTCACGGGTCACTGGACCCGGTCGAATTGTTTTCCTTCCTCTCCCCCTAATCCCTTTGGTTTCTTTTTTTTTTGAGATTTATTTGCATGTTAACTTTTAGATCAATTAGACTTGGGAAGAATAATGCATTTCTAATTTAATGCTTCCTTGTAGTGTTACGTATACTTAACTTTCTGTGCATTGTATTGTGTTAAATGCACAAGCAGGGCAATGAAAGAATAGACATTTCCTTGCTTTGTTTTAGCAATTCTTAACTTGTCATTAGGTCTAGATTTGGTATAATTTGAAAGACTCTTAGTGTGGAATGTGGCCTAATCATGAAAGGCACCTTTAATTCCAACATTACACAGTTTTGTGAATGTCAATTTATTCTTTTCTAATATCAGTTAACATTTTGTTTCATTTTTGGATTTTTTGGTTTTGGGGTTAATTTTTTGGCTTAGCATGCCATAAGACTCCTGACCAAGCTAGAACCTTAAGTATAGTTTAGTTCTCCCATTCAGTATTTTCTATTTCATGTTTATTTATTTTGTAGCAGGTTAATATAAAAGCCTGCTTCAAGCTGCGTGCAATGGTGCATGCCTGTAACCTCAGTGGCTTGGGAGGCTGAAACAGGAGGATCATGAGTTCAAAGCCAGCCTCAGCAATGGCAAGGTGCTAAGCAACTCAGTGAGACCATCTCTCTAATAAAATACAAAATAGGGCTGGAGTTGTGGCTCAGTGGTCGATTGCCCCTGAGTTCAATCCCTGGTACCCCAAAAATAAATAAATAAAAGCCTGCTTCAGAAAGCTACCGTAATTATCTTTGTGGTAGCATGATAATAAAATTGAAATAACTAAACATTCTACTCAGAAGTAGTAATGTCTTTTATATATCTTGTTTAAGTATATAATAAGACTTGTATTTTTCCTTTGGAATACTTTGGCCACCAATCTCTCATCTGAAAATACAAATTCTACTGAGAAATAAAAAAATGTAGTGTCTTAAAGTGTTGCATTGTCAAGGGTAGAATGTAGTCTAGTATGTAATATATAGCTTTTATTATCTAGATTCATTATATGTAATCTGTACTTTTAATACTTTTCCTGGAAGTGTTGTCTTTTAATGTCCTGGTAGTGATAATTACAGATCAGCAAATTCTAGTTATATCCTTTTTGGAATGTCGTGAGAAGTCACTTTTGTGGGTGTTAATTTTGTAACTACCTTCATTTTATGTGACCTTTTCAGTAGTCAACTCTGAGATTCTCTGCAAAAACAATGTCTGTTGGGAAGAGGAGAAGCTGGAAAAGGGTGCTTGTGTTTTGTGCTTTGTGGTGGGGGCAGGTGAACTATCTAGCTGTCACTGTCAGCACAACTTTCTCTTTTCCTCCCTCTCCCATGTATAGGTTAACTCTAATCTTAGCTTTGCACTGTGTTCCAGATGCGGCAGGCCAGAAGGCTGTCGAACCCTTGTATACAGAGGTATACATCAAGAACTGGTGAATGCAGCACGTATGTGGGCTCTCACGCAAACGTGCCTTCTTAGTAGAGGGCCTGACTCACTACTTAACAGCTGATCCTAGAAAGTTGAGTTCACTAAACTGCCTTTTGCAGTTGTCATGACTGACTTTGTCAACACTAACACAAACTTTCACTGCAGTCATCAGGTTGAATGTGTATTTTTTTAAAATGTTTATTTTTTACTTATAGGTGGACATAATATCTTTATTTTATTTTCATGTGGTACTGAGGATCCAACCCAGTGCCTCATGCATTCTGGGCAAGTGCTCTACCTCTGAGCCACAACCCCAGCCCTGAATGTGTAATTTATTAAAAAGATTTTAAAAATACAACTTAAATAATGTAAAGAGATATTAAGCTAGGTTCTAAAAATTCACTTACTGAATTGCTATAAGAATTTCTGTATTTTATGTTTTTTGAGATATTTTATACTGCAACACTTGAAATGTACCTTTGTTCCAATAATATATACAAGCCTTGCATGCATATACATTGAATAAACTAATTTTCATGGCATTTTAAATCTAGCGAAATTCAGCCATATAATATAACTCTGTTGTATTTTTGTAATTTGTAGTACTTTGTTTTCAAAGCCACTGGTATCATAAATGAACAGAATATACTAAGAAGTATATGGCACAATGCACTTAGAATGGTCAACTTTAAAGGTATATTCTGATTTGATCTAGTTAGAAGCATTATAAAATTCACAATTGATATTACTTCACCAGTTTAAAAATGACTATATGCTCTTTCTTACCTTTAAAATCTTAAACCATACGAATATATAACATTCAAAACTAAATACATGAAATTAGATAAAAAGACCGTGTTCTTATTGGTTGCAATGAAATTTAGGGAAACAAACTAAATTTTATCAGATTGTTAAGATAGAATATTTGAAAAATCTTGATTCCTGATTATCAGAGAAATTTACGACTTTGTATTTTTATCTTTTAAAATACACGGGATAATTCTCATTGTCAATTGAGAATATACTCTTAAATAAAAGGTAAAGCTGGTAGGCTTCCTCTAAATACAGTTCAGTTGCAGTTGGAACACTATCCTGGTTTAGGCTGGCTAAGTCTTCAAAGTGTCATTAGCTACCAAATTCAGCTTTGGTGACAGAACTAGATTCTTAGTGGAAATGGTTGTTGGCTGTCATTGCTTTAAACTCACCTTTAAAAATGCATTTGCTTTGGGAAAGAACTTGCGCATTTATCCTGCATGGCTTATGCTTCTGCTGCGTGTGCGTGTATGTGTGTTTTTCAGAGAATCAAGTCTTATGCTGAATTACTAACCTTATTGTCAATGATTGACGGTGTCTGACCATTACTCCTCTTTCTAGGAGCATTCCCACAGTCCTTCAGAGTCCAAACACACTGTCCGTCCTGCCGGTGCCGCAGCAGCAGCCACCTCACATTCCACAGCCTCTCGCAGCAACTCTCTGGTCTCAAGCTTTACCATGGAGAAGCGAGGATTTTACGAATCTCTTGCCAAGGTCAGGCCAGGGAACTTCAAGGTCCAGACTGTCTCTACAAGAGAACCAGCTTCCAAAGTGACTGAACAAGCTCTGCTAAAACCTCAAAGTAAAAATGGCCCTCAGGAAAAAGATGGTGACCCCGTGGACTTGGATGATGCAAGCCTTCCAGTCAGTGATGTGTAAGATGGAAGCATGCAGGGCCTACCACCATCCATCCTCAGTGTCCTTCATGAGGCTTCTAGCCAAAGATGATAAAGGGGGAAGTGGGTTTTAATGCGTATATTATACTGCCTCTTAGATGTACTCTTTGAAAGCTGGTAAACCAAGAATCTAGGGAGTAGCCAAATGAAATGTCATTTTTTTCAGAAAGAAGGAAAAAACCTGATTATCTTCATATCAACTATCTGAAGCTTTGTGTATTCTCCTTTGGGTGGTAAAAATGTGTGTGTGGTATTTTTTTTCCTAGTGACTTTGACAGTTTAAATGTTTAATGACTTATAAACATTGAAAATGCTCATTAATGATTTTGGTCATTTAAAAAATGCTACTATGATTCCTATTAAATGTTGATATTTAACCATCATTATTGGTTAATATTATTGAATGAAATATTGCCAGACTAAGATTCCTAAGCTCATGATGTCTGTGGTGCTGCAAAATTTATACTGCAATGTAGACTATTTTGAAATCATAACCATTTTTGATGCCCTGGATCTTGAGATGAGTGTTAAATTTTGCACAGAAGATATGATTTAGACCCTTGGTAGGGATGGAGGGTTGTATTAGGCTGGAGAAAGGGGGGGAAATTAGAATTCAAACTATATTTTAAATATTTGTTTGAAAAAGCTTAGGACTTGCAGCTGTCAGTGCTTTTGTTCAGTGACGATCATTAGGTTGGAAGTATTGGAGATACCTGATTTTCTTAACAAAATTTTGTAAATATTTCTCATCTCCATATTTGGATTGGTGAAAGACCTCAACTTTATATGTGACAACGTAACTGCCCTTAGTCATGAAATTGTGGCCTCTACTTTTTTGTTACTAATAACCTGTATTCAAGTGCCTGTGTTTTTCCATCTTGTTTAAGAATATTTTGAGATTAATATGCTACATGATTGGCTTTAAACATTGAGATAAAACTTTTAGTAGCATAGCTTACTATGTTAAATAATATAGCATTTTATGTTAGAGATACCAGAATGCTGGTATTATACTTACCTGTGCAATATACATGTTTTAAAAAACAATTTTAAGTATACAGTTAATCATGGGGATGTCAAAAATATCAACACCTCTCTAAAGAATTCTATTGTTGCAATAGACTAGTTTGAGAAAGCGCCATTTTGCAGTTCAGTCTTAAACATTTGCTTTAAGAACACAGTCTTGAATTACACATGCTGCTATTTTTATATTTTACCATTTTCCAGTACTGTTTTGTTTTGAATTCATACATATCACCATTTCTCCTTTTTATTTTCTAAGATGACTTCTTGTCTGAGAGGAAGGAAAATTTTCTACTAGTGTGGTAAGGTCCAGAGCTTAAGATACATTATACTAGAATTAATAGAGTATGAGTTAAAAAATCCAAATGCAGGGCCTGAGGTTGTGGCTCAGTGGTAGAGTGCTTGCCTAGCACATAGGAGGCACTGGGTTTGATCCTCGGTGCCACATAAAAATAAATAAATAAAGGTATTGTGTTCATCTGCAATTTGAAAAAATATTTTTTAAAAATCCAAATGCATAAGAATGCACCACTCACCTTTTTTTATTCATAAGCTAATGTTTTTTAAAGTTATATTTAGATTTTTCTCTTTTGCACCTACATTTGAAAAGGATAGAATAAAAAGGTTTTAAATAATTACACTTTTTCTGCTGACCTACCCATTTTAATGGCTCTTTTGAAAGAAGTTTTTGTTTCATGGATGCACCTAAGAAGACTTGTATAGAACTTTGCAATATTCAAGAGCCTGATGCTGTTTTCTTTGGTACAGCTTCCACATTGCATGTTCCTTTTAGCATATTTTGGTATTGGTAATTTGATATATTTAATGGTGGCAAATATTAGCTCTATTTTGGGACTTTTTATAGAACTACCCTTGTTCAATAGCATAGGAAAATGTTCTTGTGATTGTCAGGGTCTCCTAGTATTTATCTCAATTCTTTTATAAGTCTATGGAAATTATTTAATTATTTTAAAACTTACACTTTTCTTGTAAATATGTCACATCTGAAGTGTCAAAAAATTACTTTGAATACCCTAATATTTGCTGCATTTTTTTTTCCTGTGTGTAACCTGTCTTCTTTCAGAGTGGGAATGTGTGCCTCCCAATGTTTACTGTTACGTCTTTTATCTTTATATGTTGAACTGGTTGAACACTGTAATGACTTGAGAATAAACTGCTCAGAATTCATTCTAATTTATTTCTCATTCCATTTGCTTCAGCTCTCCTATGAACAAGTAAACAGGGCAAATACAAAATGTTTTTGGTAATCGACTTAAATTTACATATTTAAGAATAGTAATTATTTGCTAATCTTTGAAAAATTAAGAAACTTCAGATCTGTGAATTTTTAAGGCATAGCTTCATGTGAAGTTGTACAAGGAAAGATGTCAGAGTTTGGGGGGTGGGGGAGTTTGCAAGTATAGAATCAGACAATCAGGGTTGCTTATCATGCTTGCTTATTGGTTAGCTGGTGTGAGCCTAGGCTTGATGCAGAGGCCTTTTGATTCCCAGGTGGGACATTGAGGTACCCTCATAAAAAACTCCATGGGCTGCTGCTTCTCGAAACTTTTCCCTGTTTTTTGTTTGTTTGGGGCACTGGGGATTGAACTTGGACACTCAACCACTGAACCACATCCCCAGCCCTTTTTTGTATTTTATTTAGAGACAGGGTCTCACTGAGTTGCTTAGGGCCTTGCTAAGTTGCTGAGGCTGCCTTTAACTCTCATCCTCCTGAGTTGCGTGTGCCACTGTGCCAGGCCAAGCTTTCCCTTTTGATAATACATGTTTCTTGACAGCTGTGGTGAACACTGCACCCAGAGCCCTCCCTGTGTGGTTTGTGATGTACAGGTAAAGTTCAAGTCCTCCTTCAATAAGTGAGGACAAGGCATGAAGAGAATGTATTGAACTGTACACTTTAAAGTACTATGTACTTTAAAATACAAATTCTTCACTTGCAATTCTGGAATGTTCTCTGTATAAAGAAACCTTCAAAAATCTTAGATGTTTTATTCTTTATGTCTAGTTCATTGTTAAATTCTCCTGCTTTTCTCCTATATCTTCATAATCCTGTCCTCTGAGATGCTACCCAAAATGACTTTGAGCCAGTATCTCCTCTCACCTGTTCATGTCCTCTTAGACTCCTCTGTACCACCCTCATCCTGTCATTGCTCAGGGCAGGCATTAAACATTTTGATGTGTGCTCTTTTTACAAAAGCTGAGTCAATCAGTCCAAACCTGTGCCACCAGAAAGGAGAGGATTTGCCCATGGACAAAGAACTGTTAGGATCTATACCTTGGCGAGAGTCATGTGGGTTGGCTCCTGGTGCCCTCCAGGAATTCCTCTCTCCTCTCCAGACAGATTCATTTAGTGTTCTGCTCTTTGGTCTCGCTCTCATTTTCCTAAGGCCACTTGTTCTCTGAAATGCTTTCTTCTTCATAGGCCCTCAGATCTCTTCATTTATTTAAATGATTGATGAAAAACCCACTGAGCAGCTGCTGAGTAGTTTAGTGTGCATTCCCACTCACCCTTCCCATGTTGGGACCACGTTGGCCCTAGAATGCAAGGAACTTGAGGTTTGATCAGTGTTTCATTTTTTAGAAATCCGAGGACATTTCTATATTTCATTTGGTAGAAACCTGCTTGACATCTCTATACATAGCATTTTCAGTGCTTTCAGAAAGGGGAATATTTAATACTGATACTATTTGGGGAAAGCTTTGTTTCCAAGACTTTATCTGGGTTTGATTTTTTTATTAACTATCTGTACACTTATTTTTCTAAAAGATTAAGATTTTTTTTTTTTTTTTAATTCAAAGTGCCATTGCAGGCTGGGGTTGTAGCTCAGTGGTAAAGCGCTTACCTTGTACATTTGAGGCACTGGATTTGATCCTCAGCATCACATAAAAATAAATAAAATAAAGGTATTGTGTTGATCTACAACTAAAAATATATATTTTTTAAAAGGTATCATTGCATGCTTAGCCCATGTTCCCTTGTTCACGTCCAGCCATGAGAGACAGTTATAACCTGAAAATAATTTCTACACATTTATCTCAGAAGCCACCTCATTGAAAGCTACTGGCCTGCCAGCATCTGGTGCCGTTTTCCCCTCTGGATCGCAGATGCTTTTTGTTTACCCTTTTGTTTGTGGTTTCTTGATGCTTCTTATGTTCCTGTAATAAGTAGCTCTCTTGCAGATAGTTTTTTATTATTGTTTTTCTTTTTGGTACCAGGGATTGAACCCAAGGTGCTTAACCACTGAGCCACATCCCCAGTCTGTTTTTCCTTTTTTTTTTTTTTTGAGACAAGGTCTCACTAAATTGCTAAGGCTGGCTTTGAACTTGCAATCCTCCTGCCTCAGCTTCCTGAGCCACTGGGATTAACAGGTGTGTGCCACTGTGCCTGGCTGAATACATAATTTTGCTTATTCATAGACATAGTTTGTCCATTTTTTAAAAAGATCTACTTAAAACTAATGTGACTATTAAAATTAAACCAACAGCCCAGCAAAGTGGTGCATGCCTGTAATCCCAGTGACTCGGGAGACAGGAAAATCTCAAATTTAAGATCAGCCTCAACAATTTTGCAGGGCTGTGGGTTTACTTAGTAGTAGAGCACCCCTGAGTTCCATCAGTCTCCAGTACCCAAACAAACAAGCACTAACAATACACAGTAAAAACAAAAATACTGCCTTTTTGCCTTCAGTGTGTCTTTTTACCTGAATTTCTCTTGTTGGTCTACATATAACAGCTGTCTTATACTAGGAATCTTGGGGCCTG